TATTTGGAGATTTAGAAGACGAACAACAACCGCAACAAAAAGAAGAAGGAAAATGCAATGGCTCTGATGCAGATAAAGAGGTTTTTGATATATTGAACCAAGATTCACATAGTACCTTTGTATTTAGGAAAAGCCCAATTATTCGAGATGATGTTAATGACATTGAATTAGAACTACCAAGAAATAGATGTGATAACTCACTTGACCCATTTTTTGTTTAAGTGTATTAACATTGACAATAATTGTAATTGATTCTTTAAATAAAAGACATACGTCAATAAATTAAAATTTGTTTTTTATTCTTTAATGTTATATTACTCTTAAAATAATTAAGAAATATAAGAATTACTACAAGCCTTTTCTAAATAAAAGATTGAGTAATAATTTCATAGAATTTCATCAAATTGTAAATTTGACTATTTTTATATAATATTATGATTTAATTTATATTTGTTAACATTTAACACATATAAATAGAAATGAAACAAAACTACATATCTATTAATTTTTGATAAAATAAATTAACTTATATCATTATTCTTATTATTGTTGTCTTTTTGATTCATATATAAATGACACAAATACAATAATTTGAATTAAAAATCTTGAATTAAATAAATATTGAATATTATGCTTTATCGAAATTTAACAAATTAATTGAAAAATGATTCATTTTCTCTTAAATAGATATAATGAGATAATATTTTTAAAATAAGAGTTATTTTTTTAATGGTTATTGAATTAAATTCGAAGTAAAGCATCTTTTTATCGTTAAAGTCAATAAAATTAAAAAAATATAATGATATTTTTTTCAATTAAATTAAGCAAATGGGGAATATTAGAATGAATATAATAAAATAATGATACTAGAAAGAAATATAGTATTATCAATTTACTAATTAAATATAAAAATAAGGAAATTCTTTTAAAATTGAATAATCAATAGATACTAGAAATACTAAGAACTTTGATAGAATAATAATTTATATTCTTACTAAATACAATGTCACAAATAAAAATAGAACTATTTATAAATTTGTTACATAAACAACATTACAATTGAATAAAAATTATCATTAATATAGTAAATAATAAAGGGTAAGGAATGTAATATAAATTTAATAAAAATAAACAAAAAGAATTGGATATATAATTTGATCAAACCTATAAGTCATAATGCATTAACAATTAAAATAAAAATAAATTTTCATAAATGAAGATTTAAAATAACATAAACAATTATTAAAATACCGCATTAATGTGATACTTTTTTGTACAAATTCAAGAAATTTCAGAATTTTTATTAAAAATTCTTTTATATTATTTCGTTATATAAAACAAAAATTAATGTGTTTTGCTGCAAAGTCATTTTTGTTCACTTAGAGAGATTTGTTCAAACTTCATATCAATAAGACACAGAAAATACAGAACTTTAAATAACAAAAAATACTAAAACAGAATGGGGCTTGTAGGAGGGTGGTTTACTGTATACAATGGATTATTGTCAGCTGTACATTATGTTTTAAGTTCATTTAGAAAAAATAAAAAGTCATTATTTGTTGGGGTTTTTACTGTATTTGTTAGTGTTTGCTTTTTATATATTTTACAAAATGTTGTTGAATTAGTACCTGCCGTATTTATGAGAATATCAGAAATACAAGTTGGAGAGGGAGATATTTTACTTCAACCAAGAGAATCAATTTTTCTTAATTACACTCAAATATCAGAAAAACTTGATAAAAATTGTAAAACATGTAAGAATAACTACCCACGTTGGTTAATGTGGGGGTCTGTTGTTAATGGGAATCAAACTGTTGATGGAATATTAAATGTTTACAACAGTGAACTTGAAGAAAAAAATAATATTGGAAGAGGATGGAAATATGACCCTTTAGAAAAAGATCAATTTGTAATTAGTGGAGGTGCTGCTAGAAAAATTGGTCTTCAAATTGGACAAGAAGTTAATATGGTGGTTAGTCTTCCTGAAATAGTAAGATACCTTGGACTAAATATGGAAGATATACTTCCTGATTTAATTGGAGTTGAACAAAATGTTAATATTCCAATTCCATTGAAATTTATTGATCCAAATAATACTCAAAATGGGAAATATATAATTACTCAACTCTATGAAATAGAGAAAATTTTAAATCAAACTGGAGAAAATATATTCACATCATTGTATATAAATGGTATTAATATGTATGTAACCGAAGCATTTAACTTATATGTAATAGACAAATCATCTCCTGATCCTTATAATAAGCTTATAATAGAAAATAATGCTATTTTAGTGTCAGTTAGGTTAAACATTAATTATTCTGACCCTGAGTTATTAGCTTCTATGACATCAAGTAGAAAAATGATAATCAAAGGAATTGCAGAAAGTCCAGGAGGAAAATATTCTAATTTAATTGGGAATGTGATATCTATTGATCAAAGAGAAGCAGAAATATTGTTAAAAAAGATTTTTGAAAATATTATTAATTATGAAATAAAGAAAGTTACAGTTAAGCTAAACCAATATCATATTCCAACTGCAATTATATTGAATCTTATCAATAACTTGTTTGGTACATTTGAATTTGATCTTAACGCTCAAACAACTCAAATATATGTTCAAATGAAAGATAGAAATAAAGCATATTTTGACGGTGACAAATTAATGAAAAAAATTATTGTTGAAACAACTGATGAAATTGCACAAATACTTGGACTTAAATCTTCAATAACTCTAACTGCACCTTTATCTATTGTAGTTTCAGTTTTTAATTATTTGATGTATTTATTAAAAGAAATTTTTAATTTCATTGTTATTGTATTTGCATTTATGGGAGGATTGTTGATTTACAGTTTATTGATTACTGATGTGGAAAGTAAAACTTACGAATTTGGAATGCTACGTGCATTAGGATTATTAAAATCTTTATTAATCGAAATTCTTGTAGTAGAGTCCACAACATTTTCAATCCTTGGAGTGGTTATTGGACTAATTCTTGGATATTCATTATCTTTAATAGCCAATTTCTTGATTACTAGTCTTGCTGATTTACCAATGATTTATACACCGTCATGGACATCAATAGTAATACCATTGTTGATTGGTTTTATTGTTCCTCTTATATCCAATATTATTCCAATTAAAAAAGCCCTTTCCAAGACATTAAGAAATAGTTTAGACCTTTATCATTCTACTGTTAATGAAGTTAATGTAACAATAAAAAAAATAAAGTCAATTGGAGTACGTCCATCATTAATAATAATATCATTGGTGATGATAATAGCAAGTTTTATTACATATTATGTCATTCCAATGTCATTATTACAAATGAAATTAGATATTTTATTTATTTGCTTCTTATTAGTACTTCTTTCATTCCTTGCAGGACTTTGTCTTCTTAGTCAAATAATACAACCGTTTATTCAGAGCCTTATTACTTATATTATTATTACACCATTTCAAAGTGCTACTCAAAGTATTGTACTTAAAAACTTAAATTCTCATTCCCCAAGAAATAAAAAAACTGCTTTAATGTTAACAGTTGTAATTAGTTTTATTTTATTTGCAGGTGCAGTATTTTCACTATCAGAAAGTACTATTATTAATGAGGTAAAATTAAATTCCGGAGCAGACATTAGAGTTAAAACATCAAATAGTCTAAATGTAACTCAATTAGAAAATTATTTAAAGAATGAGCCTAAGGTTATTGACTACTCTTTCGAAACATCTCCTATCTCTGATATTGCTGGTAAAAAATCATCGACATACATAAGCAATTTAGCAATGTACCCAATGGATTCTGTAAAATATATTGCAGTGGATGAACATTTTGTTAATACAGTCTATAATGAATTATTAACTCCAGTAAAAGCTGACCCCATAATAAAATACAATAAAGTTAATGGTGTTCCAGATGTATTAACCTCTTTATATGATTCTCCTAGAGTAAGGACAAGTGACTTACCTCAATGCTTTCCATTAAATAAAAATATTATTAACAAACAAAAAATCCCTGACACATCATACTTCTATAACAATTATACTGATGCCATTATTGCTGAAGGTATTAGAGAAGAAGACAGTATTCATATAGCTGATAATGTCCGTATTAAAATAGTTTCAAATTCACATTCACTGTTTTATCTTGGAAAAGTACGTGCAACAATAAAATCAATGCCAGGTCAAAGATTTTCATCTTTTTATACAGTTGCTTCAAAATCACCTATTATTATAAGTATTCCCCAAATGAAAGAAATACTACAAACACAACAGTCTTTATTCAATACATCTTCTGATATTACTTACCCTATTCTTTATGTTAAAGTACAACCAGGAAGTAGTGAATATGTTACACAAAATATAAGAACATTAGTATATGATATTAAGGCTGTTGTAACAGATACATCTTCTAGTGTAAAATCTATTCAGTCTTCTATTGGTATTCTTCAAATATTCTTTGTAATTGTTTCTTTAATTGCGTTGTTGTTGTGTTTCTTTGTAATGTTATTATCATTTACTTCAAATGTCTATGAAAATTCTTGGGAATTTGCAGTTTTAAGAGCACTTGGACTTAGTTCGATCAAAATGGTGTTGATTTATATTTATGAATCACTTTGCATTACTTTTTCATCTATTATTTTAGGGTCATTAATAGGAATTGGTGTTGCTTCATTAGTGAATCTACAATTTATTCTTTTCCTTCAATTACCATATAATTTCTCTTTCCCATGGCTTAATGCAATAATTGTTTATGTTCTCTCAATTGTTGTTTCTATCACTTCTTCATTTATACCTTCTTGGGGTTTAACTCGCAAACCAATCTCTAATGTTTTAAAAGGTCAACTTTAATATTTAATCTATTCCTTTTTAGTTCTGTTTCATTTAAAACGTCAAAGGTTCTGTTTCAGGTTTTTTAATCTAAACTATATTTTAATAATAAAAATAATAAAAATATATTTATTTCAAAAAGTATAACTAAAAAAGAAACCAATAAATTACTATGTCATTTTCAAGTGTTAAGGTGCATTATTGCCGATATATGCAAGACTGGGACAAAATTAGTGATCGAATTTGTAAAAATAATTATGTTGGATTTGATGTTGAGTATGTTGATAAAACTCCTGCTACAATTCAGCTTTCATCACCAACTGAAGCATTTGTTTTACATGTATTTCACTATAAAGAACTACCAAAGACATTGGTTCAATTATTAGAAAATGATGGAATAATTAAAATTGGAGTTGGAGTTAAAGATGACTTAAAAAAAATTGATGATAAATATAAAACACATTGTCAAGGTGGACTTGATATAGGGTGGACTGCTTATTTGATTGGAGCTGTATCAGAATATAGAGGTATTGATTATTTAGGGGAGAAATTACTTGGAGAAAAGAAATTAGGTGGATTTGCAACATGGGGAATAGGTAGGCTAGAAAAGAAACAAATTGACTATGCCGCTAAAGATGCATGGATTGGTGTTTGTGTTGCTGAAAAAATTTATAATGAAAGTTTAACCACTAAAGAAAAGAAGAGATGTAATATCACTGACTGGGTTAAGGATATGGCAGCATCAAAGATTGATGTACTTGATTATTGTGATGATGAAGATAAAGGAGTTGTAACAAACACAGTTGTTAACGAAAATGATGTACAAGGAGAATTAAGAAGTATAAGAAAAACTAAGGAATATCTAAGCCAATTAAGAAAAGAAGAAAAAGCTCAATTGAAACAACTAGAAAAAGTAAGTGAAGAGAAAAAGCCAAAGAAGGTTGACAATAAAAAGGGTACCAAGAAAGAAAAAGATGAATTAGTCCTTAATATCTTTTTTGATGATGAATAAACTATTTTCGTGATTGGGTTATATCAAATTTTTCTATTTTGTTTTATCCAAATGAAAAGACAAATGTTCTTAATGATAGGAGATACTAGTGTTAAGAAAAAAAAGTATTTAATTAAAATGAGTTTATTCAAAAGAAATGGAGGTTTTGATCAGATTAATAAAGGAGTTGAATTAAAGAAAGTTTCTATAATAGGAGATGTTGGAGTTGGTAAAACAGCAATTGTCCGCCAATTTACCAATTATAAGTTTGAAGAAATTTATGAACCAACAATTGGAGCTAATTATTCAAGTAAAGTTGTATATGATAATAACAAATATATTCGTTTGCAAATATGGGATTGTGCGGGAAAAGAAATGTACAAATCTTTGGTTGATAGTTATTTGGAAAATAGTAATATTATTATTATGGTTTTTGATGATCCATTTTCATTTCAACATAGTAAAGAACGTCTTAATAAATTAGGAATTAATCCATCATATTGCCAAATTATTTTTGTACTTAATCAAATTGATAAATTTCTTGATAAGTTTGTTATTTTCAATGTAAACATAGTCATCAATTTATAGAGTAGAGAATTATCTCATAAAGCTCGTCAATTTACTACCAAAAAAGGTATTCCATTTTTCGAAACAAGTGCATTGCAACGTAAAGGAATTGATGAACTATTTAACTCTATTCTTTCTGGAAAGTATGAATCTTTAGAACATATCCCACATTCTTCAAAACTTCAGAAAAGATTGTGTAATGAAGAGTTAGTAGTACTTCCAAAAGATTCTTATGGGTGCTCTTGTTTGAAGATTGGGTTTTGTTAAAAAATACTAAAGATAGTTTAATGGAACCAAAGAGGTATTTGTTGATTTTTTTGTTAAATTACAAGTGAGTTAAGTTCGTTTGTTGTGGTATGTATATTAATCGATCTTTTTTATTTTTTTCTTCTTTAAAACCAGAAAATTATTTAGTATTTCTTAGATGAGTGAACAACCCATTCAAATAGAGCTTTGTTCACAAGATTATTCAGAAACACCTCTCCCAATTTCTCAGTTTCAAGACCCTGAGACAAATACTTTACAATACCAACAAGAAGAAATATCACCTGAAGTTCTTCAAAAAAAGCAAGAAATGGTTGAAGAAATTGAAAATGAAGAAACTTCCAAACAACCTGATCAGCCAACTCAAAACGAAACATTCGCAAGAACTAGTTTTAGCTCACTTCCACAATTGTCTTTAGTTGATTTAAGGCAGTATGTCAAAACATACCCAATTACTTCAATAACTGGACTGAACATATCAAATAATAGAATGGCAAATCTGTCTCTACCAAATCTGGTATCATTAAAAGAATTAAATATTTCCCATAATGCTTTTAAAAAGATACCAACAGTATTATCTATTTTTACTCAACTAACACGTCTAGATATTTCATATAATTATATTAAATCACTTGGTATATTAAAAACTCATAAATCAATACGTTTGTTATTATTAGAAAGTTTCTTTGAATTAATACTAATAATAAGGATTTCTTGATATTCATCACAATAATATCCATAAGTTAAACTTTGACCATTATGAAACAGCATCTAACTTGATTCATTTTGACATATCTGATAATTATATTGCCTCTCCATTGGACAGTTCGGAAACATTTTATTATACATTCCCTTCTATATACTTTCAGCGGAGTCCAACATTTATTATATGGGGATTATATCTTGGTTCAGTAAATTCAACTTATGACATTGAATTTATTAAAGGATTAGGAATTGGTTGTGTTCTTTCAGTAGGTAAAAAACCAATTCATGAACTTGATGGATATAATTTGTTCATACCTATTGAAGATAGTCCTACAGAAAATATCATGGAATTCCTTCAAACAGCACTACTTTTTATCGATGAAAATATTAAAAGAAGCAGGGCTGTATTAGTTCATTGTGAATGTGGAGTAAGTCGAAGTGCTAGTGTTGTAATAGCCTATATGATGAAAAAATATAATATGAATTATGAAAATGCACTAAGGTTTGTGTCTTCTAAACGTAAATGTGTTTTTCCTAATCGTGGGTTTGAACAACAATTACTTCAATTTGAAAAAACTACTTTCACATTTGGTTTGGAAGAAAAAGAGAAGAAAGCAAAAAGGAGATGGATCAACTAATGTAAAACAAAGAGGATTTGTTATAAATACATTTGATGAAAATAAAAACATTACTTAAATTAAAAAACAAAAATTTTGGGGTTTTCTTTTCTAAAAAATTAAATTTTTTTGGATAAAAACTTTAAATTTTACACAATTTTAAAGGAATGAATAAACTTGAAGGAAATCCTTTGCAACACGTTGTAAATACTACAACTTCTCTTCAGGCTTTAATGAAAATTGTTAGACAAAAAACTGAACGAAAAGATGCTGATATAGAGCGATTAGAAAAAGAAGCACGAAGAGATGTTATTGAAGGAATTCAAGCAATGGAAGTATTAGTTGAACAAATTCAAAACTTATCGAAACAGTCAGTTGATGAGCAACAACAAGAAATGGATGTATTGATAGGAGAAAATATAATTCTTCAAAAGAAAATTGAAACAAGTAAGAAAGAGATTGAATTATTACAAAAAGAAGTAAGAAATTATCAAGAAGAAAAAACACATAATAATGAAGAATATGAAAAAAAGGTTGAAGACTTAGAAGAAAGGATAAAAGAAAAAAATAATGAAATAAGTGCTTTAGAAAATGAAATACTTAGTACCTTACAAAAACACCCATCTGTATTAAATACTAATGAAGACAATGAAACAAATATTATGATATTAAAAATTCAATTAAAAAAAAAAGAAAATGAAATTGAAGAACTTGCAAAACAAATAGATAAGTTAAAAAGTGAAAATGAAAAACTCAGAACAGATGTTGAAGTTAATTCACAAACAAATGATGTTATGTGGATGACTATTATAAAAGGAAGAAATGAGAATAATTCATTAAAAAATAAAATTGACGAATTATTAAAAGGGGTAGTTGGAAGTTCTGAAACAGACATTTTTGAAGGGTTTGTACAACGTGGAGAATTAGACCAAATCAAAAAATGGACAGAAATGAAATCATTTAAAAAAGTTTGTAATATTGAAGGTGATGGTGATCAAAATAGTTGGAGTTGTGTTAAAGGACTAAAAAATGTACTTTGTATCAAAGTAACTCAAATAGGAAGTGTATTTGGTTATTTTCATAGTAAAGAACATCCAGCAGTAACAACATGGAATATTCCACCAACAACAGATATTGTGTTTTCTTTAAGGAATCTTTTTAATAGTCCACCAATAATTATTAAACAAAATGTTCAAAACAAATTAGTTGAAAATAAACCTGCTGATGTTTGTGTTCCGATAATTACTGAAGAAATAGATTCTCCTTGTCTATGTTCATTAATTTTTGTTGGTGAGAAATAAAAAATTGAAAGAATTATTAATAAGAACTATTTATCGTTTTAAGTTTAAAAAAATAAAAAAGAAAAAGATAGAGAAAATTAGTAATTAATGATTTTTTTATTATAAAATATAGAAAAAAAAGAAGAACTTAAAATTAGTAAAACATAAAAAATATTATGTTCAATCCATTTGAAATTGTTAATGGACAATATAAAGGAAATTGTTCCAAAGAATTTGTTACCTTAACACTTAATTCTATTCCTAATACTAGAGAACAATTAAACGAGTTAGGACTTCCATTTGCAATTTGTTGCCACCCAATGAATTGTACATCTCAACCACCAAAGGTTTCTTTTCCAAATGGTTCAATTAATAGATGTGAATATTGTAGGGCATTTATCAACCCATTTGTTGAATGGCAAGTACCTGGAACAAGATTTGTCTGTAATTTATGTGGGCATGTTAATTATTTAAATAAATCACCATATCAACTATACAATATTAATCAATATCCTGAACTTATAAATGGATGTGTTGATTTCATTGTACCAGAGGGATTTATGCCACGAATAATTGATGGAAGTAATATTGTTTTATTAATTGATTTAAATTGCCCTGTATTAGAGTATGTTATTAACTGTATTGAATCGCTTGAACATAATGCACGTGTAGCAGTAATTGCATATGATGACACAATTCATTTATTTAAAGCAACTCCAACAAATGTATGTGAAAATATTATCATGCCATCAATGGAAGTAGATATTTGTGAATCAACTTCTATTTTTATGGAAAAACAGAAATTGAACCAAGTCCTTGAATTAATCAAAAAAATTACTCCAAATAATAAAAATTGTTTACTTGAAGCTCTTACTATTGCTGGCTCATTATTAAAGAAAATTGGAGGTAAAGCTATTGTTATTAATAGTACTCCTGTCACTTCAGGTAAAGGTGTCTATCAACCAAGAAATCCAATAGTTGAAAAGAGATCAAATGATATTTATAAAAAGCTTGCCATTGAATTAAATAATGATGGTATCACTGTTGACCTTCATCTAGTAGCATCTTCTTATGTTGACCTTTCTCAATTCGTTGACATTTCATCAAAAACAGGAGGAAATACTACATATAACACTCTAAATACTCTCAATGATGGTACTTTCTTTACTTCACTTTATCAATCATTCTGTGATATTACTGGATTTGATGGAAGTTTTAGACTCCGATGTTCACCACAGATGAGAGTAGTTAGTAGATATGGTCATTTTATAATGAAAATATCTGATATCATTTCATCTCCTATTTCATCTTCTAAAACTGCATTAACAATTCGTTTAACTATAGACACTCCAATAGTAGCTCCAAATATATTTATTCAATCATCTTATCTCTACACTGCACCAGATAATACTAGATGTATTAGGGTCTGTACTATTGCTATCCCAGTTGTTAGTCAAATTCATCAATGTCTTCCAAAAGATTTCAGTCCAGTTTGTGGCTTTATGGGAATGATTCTTATGGACCAAAGACCAGAGCTCAAAATCAACGATCTTCAAAACTCTCTTATTAATCAAATGGCTAAAGTTTATAAACTATTTTCAACAACTTCTCAACAAGTCCAATTATACTCTTCTATGGTACCACAAAATCTTGTTCCATTTACTCTTTATTGTTGTTCAATATTAGTTATGCTAAATATTCCTCCTTCTGATTATTCAATTTATCTCAGAGAAAAAATATTAGGAATGAAAATTAATTCACTTCAACAAATGTTTTTCCCTATGTTATATGATGCTCATTCCCTTCAACAAATACCCACTGACACTTCTAATATTGACAATTTAATTTTAGCTTATAACGGAGAACATTGGATTCTTTCTATTGGAAACAAGGTCGAAGACCAAGATATTCTTGCCCTTGTAGAACAACAACCAGTCTGTGTAATTACTCATTCAGAAGGTATCTTTTCTTCCTTAAGAACTCTTGTTGGTAATGCCCCAATC